CAGTGTAAAGAATTATAACGCTATCATTTGCATCTTTGTTTGTATCAAACAGGAGGACGAGAAAGTACTGCACATTGTTAATATATATTCTATGAAAAACACTCTCGCCGCGATTTGTTGGGTTCTGGTTGTGGAGTTCATGCAGGAATGAATTTCAAAAAGATTTTAATCGGGTTTTTTTAACGCCATTATGTTTTGTACTAGATCACTATTGTTTATGAATATAAGATCAAGGCTTAGGACTTTTTTTTTCCAATCTTGAAAGTTCAATTATCTGATGACTTAAGGCGAATTTGTCAGTCTTGATAGTGAGTTTGTTTCTATATATTCATCTGGAACTTTCTCTGTTGTCACAGTGCTTTCTTCATTCTTCCATTTTAGGTGTCCCACATTTAAATTACCAAGCAAGATGTGGAAGAAAGGGGCATACTGCCGATAAGTATAAAAACTGACAGGGTACAACACAGCCTTGTATTTTATTGTGTACAGCTTATCAAGTGATGACTTGATGAGGCGCTACACAGAGCGAAAGTCTGATCTAATTTCAGCTTGTTCCGCAACTTGTATCTTGGTCTTCAATCAAACTATCCACCGGGAGACCTGGTCTGGGACCAGGAGCGCAGGCGAGAGATATATATCATAATCTACACCTGGAAGATTCTGGAGGGACTGGTCCCTAATATGCACACAGCAATCACTCCATACGAAAGCAAAAGACTTGGCAGGCGATGCAACATACCCCCAGTGAAAAGTAGGGACGTCACTGGTACGCTAAGAGAAAACGCAATAAGTGTCCGGGGCCCAAGACTGTTCAACAGCCTCCCACCAGTAATAAGGGGCATTACCGGTAGACCCCTGGTTGTCTTCAAGAGGGAGCTAGACACATACCTAAAGACGGTGCCGGATCAGCCGGGCTGTGGTTCGTACGTTGGATTGCGTGCGGCCAGCAGTAACAGCCTCGTTGATCAGGCCCTGATCCACCGGGAGGCCTGGTCGTGGACCGGGCCGCGGGGGCGTTGATCCCCGGAATGCCCTCCAGGTAGACTCCACGTAGGTAGGCCGTGGGGGCGTTGACTTGTGTAACCGATTCCAGGTGAGATGTAGTTTGGGACCCAACAGCAACATTATACATCGTTAAAATTGCATTCCACAACTATATAACAGCAGTAGTCAATTCTTTAAAGAGTCGTACTTTCCCATATCCTTACAAAAGCGCATCACAACCTCAGTCCTCTCCACACACTTCTCAACTGCGATCTCTGCCCACTTGAAGTGCCTGAGAGGATCGGCACTTATCCTTACAGCTTCACAGCATCTTACAGAAGCGCACTATAGCCGCAGTACACCTAATAGCAGACCACAACAGCCTCCTACCCCTTCAGCAGCGCACCACAGCCTCAGTACCTCATTATAACCCTCCAAACAACTCTACAACCCCTGCTCTCCCCTCCCTCTGAACTCGTCTGCCAGAGCGTCCTCCTGGCCGAAACTCATCACTAATTCAAGCCTCAATTTTCTTCGATGGACGGGCGTGGGAAACAGAGGGATGGGCAGGCGTAGGCGTGGGGAGGAAGAAGCTGCTGTGAAGGCGTACATTGTACTACAGGTAGACGTGGGATGCTTTAGAAAGACAAGATAATTATTTTATCAAACTACCGTGAATGACCAATACCGGTTTAGTACCTTGGTACATATAATAATAACTTATGATGCAAATAGATATTCCGTATTGTGTGTCTGTTATCTATATAACATTAATATTTTAAAAATTATTTTCAATGCGTACATCCATCAAGGAAGGTTCCTTGATGTTGGTGAGGGGCTCTTGATTTAGGGAATTGGATCTGTGCTCCAGTTTCCCAAATTAAGCCTGAATGCCTTCCACATCCCCCCCCCCCCCAGGCGCTGTATAATCCTCTGGGTTTAGCGCTTCCCCCTTGATTATAATAATAATAATTCAATGCGTACAGTTTATAGAATATTACACAGTTGTGCAGCTGTAATAGAAACAAATGTAAACATTGGCAAATAATTGAAAATTAATCTAGAATAACGCAAGTTAGGGCAAGAACTATCGTTGCCTAACACCATCGACAATGTTTTGCCAGTGATGGTGTTCGGAAACTATATAATTCAAGCAACAATGTTTTCCATGGATGGAGTTAGGATAAGTATTATGGATCATCAGGACAGTTCCAGTGTGGATGTTAGGAAGTAATATTAAGCGTACATGTTATCCATGTGAGTGGATGTTAGTAAGTATATAACAAGACAATGTTTTCATGATGATTATAGTAAGTATATTAACATCAACTACTGTTTCCATGTCATGGGTTAGTAAGTATAATTATACTCAGACAATGTTTCCAGTGATGGATGTTGGTATATTATATGTCAACCATTAAGTAAAAAACTATTATTCAGGCCACTATGAGGAAGTAGAGAATGTGGTGGATGCCCGAAGTTGGATAAATGACAGCGGAGACTCTTAGGATGTGTGAGGGAATGTCGGATCGATATAGCAGTGTCCCACAGTGTTTTAATCCTGTAACCTGTGTAGCTTAGACGTGCACAAGGTGCCGCTCATGGGTTCTGGGTGAAGTGACACTACTGTGTTCTGAGAGTGAAGCGCCTGTTCTGAGATGAATTGACATGTCTGAGAGTGAAGGTGCATGTTCTAGAGTGAAGTGACAGTTTGAGAATGAAGTGTGACACGTTTGAGTGAAGGTGACACTGTCTGAGATAGTAAGTGACACGTTCAGAGTGAAACACTGTTCTAATGAAAACTGTTCTGAGATAAGTGACACTTTTCTAGGTGAAGGACACTGTTCTGAGTAATCACACATTCAGAGAAGTGACCATGTGAATGGGACACTGTTAGAGTGAAGGTGACACTTCTAGATAGGTACATGTTTCTAAGTGAAGGGATGTTCGGAGTGAAGTACATTATCTGAGAGTGATGACAATGTTTCTGAAGTGAAGATATGCGAGAGTGTAAGGTACACGTGTTCTAGATAGTCATCTGAGAGTGAAGTGACACACTGTGTTCCTGAATGTGAAGGGCACATGCTGAGAGTAAGGACACTTACTGTATCGAATAAGTGACACTGTTTTCTGAGGTGAAGGACACTGTGTCTAGAGTGAAGTACACTGTTTCTGAGGTAACCATACGAAGTGGTGAGAACTGTTATTGAGATGAGCGCACTATGGAGAGTGAAGGTGAACGTCAAGAGTGAAGGTGCACTGTGTTTGAGATAAGTACACTGGATCAAGTAAAGGTGACACATACTGGTTGTGGAGTGAGATGAACTGTGTTCTGAATAGTGCAGGTGTACCTACTGTGTTTAGAGTAAGGTGAACTGTTCTAGAGTAGAAGTGACACTTATGTGTTCTAAGTAATGAACTGTTCTGAGAGTGAAGGTGACACTACTGTGTTCTGAAGTGAAGGTGACACTGTGTTCTGAGAGTGAAGGGCACTACTGTGTTCTGAGAGTGAAGGTGACACTGTGTTCTGAGAGTGAAGGTGACACTACTGTTCTGAGAGTGAAGGTGACACTACTGTGTTCTGAGAGTGAAGGTGACACTGTGTTCTGAGAGTGAAGGTGACTTACTGTTTCTGAGAGTGAAGGTGACACTGTGTTCTGAGAGTGAAGGTGACACTATGTTCTGAGAGTGAAGTGACATACTGTGTTCTGAGAGTGAAGGGCACTATGTTCTGAGAGTGAAGGTGACACTGTGTTCTGAGAGTGAAGGTGACACTGTGTCTGAGAGTGAAGGTGACACTTACTGTGTTCTGAGAGTGAAGGTGACACTGTGTTCTGAGAGTGAAGGCGGCACTATGCTGAGAGTGAAGGTGACACTGTGTTCTGAGAGTGAAGGTGACACTGTGTCTGAGAGTGAAGGCGACACTATGCTGAGAGTGAAGGTGACACATGTGTTCTGAGAGTGAAGGTGACACTTACTGTGTTCTGAGAGTGAAGGTGACACTATGTGTTCTGAGAGTGAAGGTGACACTGTGTTCTGAGAGTGAAGGTGACACGTGTTCTGAAGGAAGGTACCTTTGTGTTCTGAGAGTGAAGGTGACACTGTGTTCTGAGAGTGAAGGTGACACTTACTGTGTTCTGAGAGTGAAGGTGACACTGTGTTCTGAGAGTGAAGGTGACACTTACTGTGTTCTGAGAGTGAAGGTGACACTGTGTTCTGAGAGTGAAGGTGACACTGTGTTCTGAGAGTGAAGGTGACACTGTGTTCTGAGAGTGAAGGTGACACTGTGTTCTGAGAGTGAAGGTGACACTGTGTTCTGAGAGTGAAGGTGACACTGTGTTCTGAGAGTGAAGGTGACACTTACTGTGTTCTGAGAGTGAAGGTGACACTGTGTTCTGAGAGTGAAGTGACAACTGTGTCGAGAGTGAAGTGACACTGTGTTCTGAGAGTGAAGGTGACACTTACTGTGTTCTGAGAGTGAAGGTGACACTTACTGTGTTCTGAGAGTGAAGGTGACACTTACTGTGTTCTGAGAGTGAAGGTGACACTTACTGTGTTCTGAGAGTGAAGGTGACACTTACTGTGTTCTGAGAGTGAAGGTGACACTTACTGTGTTCTGAGAGTGAAGGTGACACTTACTGTGTTCTGAGAGTGAAGGTGACACTTACTGTGTTCTGAGAGTGAAGGTGACACTTACTGTGTTCTGAGAGTGAAGGTGACACTTACTGTGTTCTGAGAGTGAAGGTGACACTTACTGTGTTCTGAGAGTGAAGGCGGCACTGTTCTGAGAGTGAAGGTGACACTTACTGTGTTCTGAGAGTGAAGGTGACACTTACTGTGTTCTGAGAGTGAAGGTGACACTTACTGTGTTCTGAGAGTGAAGGTGACACTTACTGTGTTCTGAAGTGAAGGCACTGTTCTGAGAGTAAGGTGACACTTACTGTGTTCTGAGAGTGAAGGTGACACTGTTCGAAGTGAAGGTGACACTGTGTTCTGAGAGTGAAGGTGACACTTACTGTGTTCTGAGAGTGAAGGCGGCACTGGTGATAGAAGAAGGTAGTTTCAGACCCTTGATAATCTCTTGCCAGAGTTTCTTGTTAATAACATCGACCAGACCACCACGAGCCACCACAAGGTTGTAGAGTTCGTAGAGGTCCAGGACCTGCTTGGCCATGATGGGCAACCGGTTGATGGGCGTACCTGATGGGCAGGAGAGAGTGGGGTTAGTGCTGCTTGATCCTGATGGGCAGGACAGTGTAGTGTAAAGGCTCTTGGTTATATTGCACTGATGGCGGGAGAGAGTGGGGGTTGGTGGTGTCCTGCTGTGATAGTGTATCTGATGGGCGGGAAAGAGTGTTACTGATGGACATCAGAAACATAAACCAGCATCACAAACTGAGGTGCCACCACCACCATCACTGGGGTGCCATCTCTGAGGTGCCACCACCATCACTGGGTGCCACTCATGTGGGTCCCCAAAACGGTGCTTCTGAGTGACACTGAACCGGGGATGGGAGCCATGTTTATGACTAACAACAATTAGGGCCACCATCACTTGGGTGCAGCCACATCATGGGGGCCAAAGCTAGTTGTGGGCAATTCAACGTGCACGTAGTGGAAAATAAGTAGGCCGTGATGCGAAGCCAGTAAATATAATCCCTCACTACAACATTAGGCGCAGGCCATATAGCATTTAGCTTTTGGGTAATGCGTCAGGATGAATGGGGCAAACGGGAAAAGTTGCGAGGCCTGGCCAGATTCATCACATTCGCCTTCTGCTGGAAAGATTTAACTGATAGGACATGTAAAGCTAAGAAAATACAAACCTCACCTCCCATTACCACTGTGAGCAGCCTGTATAGCCCCTTTGTTACTCAATTATTAAATACCAGGCCTGTAATGGATGACTATACGGGGACAAGTCACGCCTGGACCCAGCTCTGACACATTAGGCCTCTAGCATGTGGAATAAAAATAAAGAAGGATAAGTTGTGTCAAAAGTGTGCCTTATGAGAAGAAACGTTGACAATTCTCCAAAATGCTGCAGGAATCCTACACCTGGATTGGCGCAGTGTGCATATAGGGCTTGTCGCTTTCGCTTTCTTATTTTTAAATAATAATAATCACCAAATCATGGTCGTGGGTCCACGCCATCCTGTTGAAACAGCAAGCTCTAGACAAGTTGATCCAGGGCCGGGCTGCTGGAGTAGGAAGTCTCGAAACCAATCAAAGGTATATGATAGGTTTCAATGCTCTAAGTAGTGTGCCTAAGTTGATGAATGACAACAGTTGTCATGTTTCAGATTCTGTCCGAAATTGCTGGCCAGTTGTGGCTATATCTCTGACTACCTGGATATGGCCGCTAGTTGTGGCCATATCCAGGGCTACACATGCTCCCTGTTCCCTTTTTTCTTACATTTCTAAATACTATCCAACAATCTACCAAATCATGCTTTTCTGGAGTCATTACACGCCATTACTCCTGCTAAAATACGCCTAATTATAATTGATGTAAAAAAACTGGAAATGTGTAACAAGTAACAATACAAACAAAAACTCCACCGGAAGTCCGCGACATTAGGTATGGAGCCATAAAAAACTCAAGATTAACTAGACGACCCCATACCATGCTATGGATTTACACAATACCGGCACGTTAAAACTCACTCGAGAAGCTTAGACAACTGGTTTTCGTCGTGATAGTGCACCAAATAATGGTGCTTATCAATGTCAACTTGACCAACGTATTTATGATACTACTCTTTGAGTGCTTGATTGTAGTATGGTTCAGCACGGTCTGTGCCTGGTCACTATGGTGTGTGACCAGGGTCTGATTCAACAGCTTACCGTCGTGACGACACGTTTGTCCATACGTAGGAACCGCCTCAGTGAACTGAGATTTAAGTATACTTCTGCACTCAGATTTTGAAGAAACACGGTCAGTCTAATGGAGCGTTATCTGGTTCGAGCCTGTTGGACCGGTCCACGAAACAGTACACTGAATCAGGTTGATCACGATGGAGAGGAGCAAGTAGTCAAGTAAGAACAAACGGTGACGGACGATAGTATGCAGCCATTTGAAGAAACGAGAGGATGATGAATGAAGGTGGTGGGAGGTGAGAAAGTCAGTAAAGAATGAAATAATTATTCTGTCGTAGTCATCACGATAGATGGCAGCTGCCGATCATGTCACAAACACGTAGAATCCGATATCGATTCCTTTGCCTTGCTATATCTTGAACTTGTCCACTATACATCACCACTTGCGCATCAATCTCCTCCATTATACTCCTTGACACATTCGTCACGCCCTGCTCGCTGCTTCCGTCCATTATCACGCCCACACCCGCCCTCGTCACGCCTGCTAGCTGCTTCCTAGTTACTCATCCTTCTACTTGATGACCACCAAGCTCCAAATTACTGGATAAATTGTGTATCATCAACTCTCAAGTCAAGACGCTGGAACCTGTAATTTGACCAGATATCATGGCGGCCCTCCTGGTGAACTGGGTGCCTGAGGTACGACGGTGCTGCTGTGGTTAAGATGAGAACGTAAGAAAGGAGGAACACTGCAGCAGGCCTAATGGCCCCATGCTTGACAGGTTCTTCTCAAACCCAAACCCACTAACAAAAATATTTGCTCAACCCATTTTCAATGCTAGCCAACAGATAATTGGTTGAATATATATTTATATATCAATGAAACCTCGAAACAAGTGGTATTGAATAATCTACCAAACTGCGACAGGCCAGGATTCGACCCCACGATACATTCTCCCGCCTCAAGAGTCAACACAACGTACGTATCACCCTGTCCACTACTCCGTCGATCCTACAAACAACATGAGCATAGCGAACTAGACTTGGTTCATTTTGCGAGGACGCTCGTGGCAGCGGATGTTCAAGGATTAATTTCAGCCTCCTCTTGTTTGAATAAGGTGACACAAGTTGTGTTGTCTCTTGAGGCGGGACAATGTGTCGTGGAGTCGAATTCTGGCCTGCTGCAGTTTGGTAAATGATATTGATATATATGAAGACCGCCGTGGCGAAGGTTACTTTAGCGTGTAGATTCGGAATCATTCCTTCCAGTATTTTCTGGGTGTAAATTTTTATACATTCTCTTTTGTCTGCTTTCCAGGGTGTTTAGTTTGATAGATTTCGTACATACTTGTGAATAGTTTTTAAGTTTTTTTTCTTTCCTCAGGGCTCGGTCTGAGGACAGGCCGAGACCAGGCCTGGCGTCAGATATGGGCAGTGAAAGTTCGCTGCTTTTAAAAGGGCGATGCTAGTTTACAGCAATAATCCGGTCAAGAGAGAAGTGTCCTAGAGTATCAATACTAGTTTGACATTTGTCTTATTACCCAGCCTATCATTTTCCTTATAGGTTTGCTGAATTTAAAATTGTTTGAAATGGGTTACCCATAATTCCCTTAAATTCATGTGAAGTTTCAGTGCGGTTCATGCTGTTACGTTTCTTATTTCTTCATTTTTATCCACAACGGAGCAACGGAAATTTAACCATGTTGCACCTGTTGTTTTTTGCTTCTCTGGAAGACTTTGTTTACATCCTCTTTGAATGTTCTTAGATTAATGGTACGCAATACCGAGGTTTGCTCTGAGGTTTGTCGTATCTCCGACAGATGTCAGTATGGTTTCTTTGCGTATTTTTTGAGTTAGGTTGAGCAAACTGAAAATTAAACAGGCCTCTTTTCCAGTTATTTCCTCTTGAGTTAATTTTTGCTCACTATTACACATGATCACACTTGTCAAAGATTTTTTTTAATGAAGAGGAAGATAACAGCTGCAAAAGAAACTTCTGCTGAGACAACGTTTCCCTCTGCATAGAGCTTCTAGTTAGCTTTTTTCTGTAACTTGTCTTAGTAATTATACTTTAATGCACAAATAACTTGCACATAGACGTTTCGGTCCGACTTGGATCATTTACAAAGTCATGTGGTTATTTGTGTATTGTTCCAGTCACGGTATTGTGTGTGTGTCTGTCTCTGTCTGCCTGTCTCTGTCTGCTTGTCTCTGTCTGCCTCTCTCGTCTCTTCTCTCTGTCTGTCTCTGTCTCTGTCTCTGTCTCTCTCTCTCTCTCCTCTCTCTCTTCTCTCTCTCTCCTCTCTCCTCTCTCTCTCTCTCCTCTCTCTCCTCTCTCTCTGGCTCACTAACCCAATTCTCTGGCTACAGATACCGTGGCGCTTCACCCTCATTGACAAATGTCCGAAATTCACCTGTTATTGTAAATTTGGGAAAGTTTTAGGTAAACACGAGGTAAATTGAGGTAAATTTTAGGTAAATGTGAGGTAATATAATCAGGTGAGAGCTAAAAGCATGGGATCAAATTAGCGAGGGACTAGCGTGCCGATTATCATTATTGTCTCCTCTCTTGTGTGGCTGTTGCTTCTTTGTTTATTCTCACAGTTTTTGGTATTCGTCTTATTCTCTTATCCTCTTTGGCTTCTTGTTCTTTTCATTGATATTTGGTTATTCATCATCTCATTTATTCTCTTATCCCCTGTATTTTCTTATTTATCTTATCCTCTTTTCCCGGCTTTATCTTCATAAGTAAGTTTATTCAGGTATACACAAATACAGTTACATAGAATTATCATACATAGCAGCATATGTGTAGAGAACCTAGGATAACCCAAAAAAGTCAGACAGAGTGACTTATTTCCATTGGGGTCTTGGTTGAATTTGTACTTTAGAATTAGAGAGAGAGAGAGAGAGAGAGAGAGAGATTGAATTAATTTTTAATTATATATATATATAATTAAACAATCATCCAGCAAACAAGCTACAGGACACACACACACAGCTTTAAGAAGAGGTATGATAAAGCGCATGGAACAGGAAAAGTGACCCAGTAGCGACCAGTGAAGAGGCGGGGCCAGGAGCTGTGAATCGACCCCTGCAACCACAACTAGGTGAGTACACACACACACAAACACACACCACACACACACACACACACACACACACACACACACACACACACACCACATGTACTGCCATATACTCTCACCTGTCTCATTTAACCCCCCTACCTCTCATCCTCATCCTGGTGTCTCCCTGACTTATAATCCCCCTACCCTTGTTATCCCTCTCTCTCCCTACCCTGTTACTACACAGCATGCTACTGACCCCTCGCAGCATGTTATGGAACATGATCATTGGAGAACAAGACACCACTGAGT